CCTTTTCGGCCCCCAAGAAGAAAAAAAATTATTTGCAGGTTTTTTTTTTTTTAAATTTGGTGTTTTTTTAAAAAAAAAAAAAAAAAAAAAAAAAAAAAAGTCGACACTCTTCTTTTTTTAGGAAGGCAACGTACTTTTACTTATTTAAAGCTACCAGCCACTACTTTGAAACTTTTCTTTAAAAATCAAACTCACTTCAGATTTAGTTTAACTGTAGAAAACATATCATCAATTTTTAGAGTTCATGAGCTATTTTGTTGCATTTAATTTAGATAAATATATCCTCCATGTGAATAAGCTTTCACTGGTGACAACATATATGGCATAAGACAAGTGATCACACGAGATCAACTTGTAGTTTGTTTCCACACCCCCATCTTTATTCATGTTTTATTAAAATTTCTCCTTAAACATGTTTACTCGTGTTTTTACATGGCTGCAGAAAAAAACAAACAAACAAAAAAAAAAATTGTGCTCATTAAAATTAAATACATGCACCAAGCATTTAAAAAAAATACACTTTTTTTTTCTTGAATTCTATAACCCACAGCAGTTTTGCAATTGTATACCCTTACTTATTTACATGCTTATTTTTTATGTTGTTGATCTACAGTGAGTTGAACATAGCTTTTGGACTAAAGTGATTCTTCTTTCTTAATTTTTCTTTGGATATTGCATGTCTAGTTTATATTTGAACAGATAAAAATTGCAATATTTCTTACTTTGAATTAGGAAAAAATATTTGTGTAGTCTGCAAGTACTTTGTGGTCTATCTGGCTAAAAAGTTTGAATACCATCTGTTCAGGGTTAAAGCATGGAAATTGGCATTTACCCATTTCGTATGCACAAAAACCAGTCAGAGTAATTTAAACAAAGTATAAACAGATTCAGATTAGACTTGTAGAAGTCATGAAGACAGTCAGTATCAACGGCAAGGGGTTTATCAGAGCTCAAACATGTGAAGCCAGACTCCATGAAACTGAAACGTTACTTGGCATAGTATTTACTACATGCTGTAAATGCTATTCCATTTATATCTGTTGTAATAGCATCAACCTGAACTGACACAACAATTTTGCTGTCGTTTCCTCAATGAACCTTTCAAACGTTGTATTTTGTGAAACTATACAAAAGAAGTCCATACTCTGCTACCATGTTGTGTTTCTTTTGTCAAGACATATTTATTAATGTCAGAAAACACACAACAGGAACCACAACATCTTTGAAATAAATAAATACAAAAAAGCTTTACTTTTGTTCCAAAATATTTTTACCGTAATCATAAGTTTTTCTGTGAGGCTTATCCTGAAAGAGCTTCATCTGTAAAATGTTTAGAACAACAAACGTTTCTTTGCTGGTTAAAAGAAAAGTCTGCAAAAGGGAGTGGATGCAGGTGTTTGTCTGATCTCCAGGTGAAAAAAAGTTTGTAGCTGCTGTGATGTAAGCACACTTGTACATGTCATCAACAATGGCTGACTTAGAAGCAGAGCCCTCAGGACACAAATACCACAAAGCAGCTGTACCTTAAGCAAAAAAGGGTAAATCTGTTTGCCTCCACGATACACCCCCTGGCAGAAGACGCCAAGCAACAAAAGCGAATGTATTGCTTTTTACTTCTGTCTGTGCAAGTCACTCACAAGCATTATTCCATATGCTTCACATTATAATGGTGCACCATAACCCAAAACAGCAAGAAACCCCAAATTACAGCCACAGTAAGAAATACAATTCACTGTAGACTAAAAACATAAGGTCCAGCCAAGCTGAAAGAACTCCAGTTCAAATGCTTTCATTGGCACTTTTACAGTGTGTAACACACACACGCGCGCACACACACAAACACATACATACATACATACATACATACATATATACATACATACACACATACACACATACATACATAAGTTTCTGAATAGTTTTGATGATTCTTTGACTTTACAACCCACTTTTGGTCCACACACATTTCTGAAGTTTGGCTAAAATAAAATTGCCCAGCTTTCTGCTCTGGCATTTAGAGAGCATAGCCCCGTTTACCCAATGTGACTGAGCAAAAGGCTGAATAGAAGCACGGAAAAGTTTAAACCAAACCACTCAAGTCAGGAAGTCCTTTAACTTTAATTACTGACCAACGCGACTTTAAAACCCTCCCTGCCAAGAAAAAAGAGCCCAAAAATGTGACTTACCTTTTAAGGAAAAGCGTTCTTCCTCCGCCCCCCTCAGGATTTGGATTCGTTTAGTCAAAGTTGCTGACAGAGAATGAGTGCACTTAAGTCCAAAGAGCCCTCAGTCCGTCATGCAAGCTTAGTGCGGGGTGAGACTCATTTTGCTCTGCTGGAATGTGATCTCGGGGTGATCCGAAGCCCTTCGGCGGGTTTACTTTCGCTCAAATGAATCCGCAGCTCTCTTTGGCTTATTCTTCTTCTTCTTCTTCTTCTTCTTTCTTTTTATCCCTCCCCGGTGATAAAATAGAAGTCCTTGTTTGGTTCCTGAACCTCCGCTCCTCTTGTTGATTCTGTTCAGTTCACTTCCTCCAGCCCAGGTAGCCACTGAAGCCGCCACAAGTTCTGGCAAGGGGATATTCCTCCCACTGCGCCGCAAAGGCTCTTTCCTCTAACTCCCGCCCCCTTTTCCCTTTACCTCCCCTTTCTGAGGCCTCCCTTCATTTGTGTTCTCGCCATCACTTCTCTCCGAGTAGCCAACCCCCCACAGGAGACCCTAAAAACTATAATAGAATGCTTAACCACACACACAAAAAATCTACTCGTTTATCGACATTTATGACACATTCGATACTCTGTTATTTATGCAGCAGGTTTTATACCTGCTATACAATATTTGTTTGTTTTTCTGTAAAATAACCATGTTTTTATTTCTGTTTGTTTTTGAGCAAAGAAAGGAGAATAGGGGAACCAGAAAAAGGTGAGCCACTTATGTCTTGTGTTAATATAAAAACTAAATTTGTCAGATATTGTTTTTATGTACTATTTATTTTTACTTGAGTGTTATACTTGTCAAATGCTGTTTATAAATGTCATATTATTGTTGAAATTATCTTTAAGTCTTGTTTTTTTATGTATTGTATTATTAAAAGGTACTTTCAAACATGAAAATATATTCATAAGTATTCTTGACCTCTAAATGACATAGTAGACCCAGTATGTCTCAGCATAGTCTTAAATTAACAAACTGTAGATGTGTGCCTGTGTCTGATGTATTTTTGCATCAGACACATAATATGTATTGATAATTTTATCATTACTTCTTGAAGAAAACAAGGCTTTTGGTATGAAAGGTACTTATTAAAATGTAAAATAAAATAAAAATACTCTGTGGAGTGATCTAGATTTAATAAAATCCAACTCTCAAAAGATGCTAATACAAATGTGCTAGCAAAAGAAGTCATAGATCAAGCATGCTCAATACTCAACATAATTGTGGTCTTTCAAATGAGCCTGTTCCTTACATTTTTGTGAAACCGCTGTTTATTTTAAATTGAGACTGGAAGCATTAGTGTATGCTTCTCAAACTATAATTTTACCAATTTATTTGCTATTTCTTAACTATTAGTTTGATTGAAATTTGCATTTTATTGTTTTTTTCCTGGCAGCACAGTAGCACAGTTGGTAGAGCTGTTGCCTTGCAGCAAGAAAGCTCTAGGTTCGATTCCCGGCCCCAGTCTTTCTGCATGGAGTTTGCATGTTCTCCCTGTGCATGCTCCAGGTACTCTGGTTTCCTCCCACAGTCCAAAAACATGACTGTCAGGTCAGCTGGTTTCTCGAAATTGTCCCTAGGTGTGAGTGTGTGCATGGTTGTTTGTCTCTGTGTTGCCTTGCGACAGACTGGCAACCTGTACAGGGTGTACCCCGCCTCTCACCCGGAACATTAGCTGGAGATGGGCACCAGCAACCCTCCTGACCTCACTGAGGGACAAGGGTGTAAAGAAGATGGATGGCTGTTTTTTTCCTCTCAAGCTTCATTATTTCTTGCTTTTATTCTATTTTTAATCTATGTTCTTTTAGTCTTGCTGAATTGTCTTCAATAGGAATGGTGGCAACAAACAAACAAAAAAAAACAAAAAAAAAACCACTTGCCCTACCTTATGTATTTCTGATGCAAAGCTGAATGTTTAACATTGAGTTTTATGCACAAGCTAAATAGAGTCAGCATTTGGATATTTGGGAGTATGATTTGCACCAATGCAATGAAAAGTACTCATTTTGTTAAATCTGTGTGAGTTGATTCATAGTTTTGTTTTAATACTTCTGATGATAGTATTTCTGCTTATGACACAATTTAAAACAGAATTCTTCAAAGTTGTTAGATTAAACTTCAAACATTTTTTGTATGTCTATTGATGTTTGGATACATTGAGTATATCGATATGTAAGAAGTGTGACAAGATGCAGAAATATGCACTAGAACTTTCAATGACAATTTTATTTGAAATTATGCTAAATATTGCAGATAGTCTTTATAGTAATGCCGTATGCAGTAAGCAGTAAAAAAAAAATAAAAAAAAAAATACATGAAACATGTTGCAATAAATTCTGATAAAAAAAATCCCCAAACAATAAATTGTAGGTCTAAGTGATTATGAGTGTTAACTGTGGTATTAGAAAACAAAAATAAATCAAAGAAACATTCTTTTTTTATATATATATTGCAATAAACCAATAACATGGAGGGTTTAGTGGTGTCAAAAGAGGAGTAATAATGTAAAGTAATGTAAAAAAAATTATAACTATTTAGATAGCAAGAGCTCATGATTAATTAGCATAGTTAGCTTTTCAATTTGAGCAAAACATCAATAACTCTAGATAAAATCATTCTCTAAAAACATGAATGAATCTACAATAAAACCTAACCCCAAAAAACAACAACAAAAAAGCAATATTGAAGAGGTTAATTGGAACCTAAACCAAATAACTACAAAAAACTGAAATTAAATTTGTTTTACCACAAAGCCAAGGTACATTTTAATCAGGACGACAAGGTTGTCAGTAGTAGTCAGCATTTAAAATCAAAACCAAACTATTGAAAAATCACAAACATTTAAATCGTATACAAATGAAAAAAAAAAAAAAAAAACTGATTAATTTTTTTTTAACAAAACCCAGCTACATTTAACTAAAAAAATACCATAAAAACAGGAAAACTATAAAGCAGTTGTTTTATTTGCATTAGGAGATAATATTTCAACTGAGGACGGTAGTGCTGGAGGAGTAATTGTAGGAGTAACTGGAGGTATAATCGACACTCCCTCTACGAGATCCACTCCTTGAGCCAGTGCGAGATCCAGCCCTGGAACCAGAGCGAGATCCTGGGTTGGAGACATTGTAAGGGCTGCTTATTCCTTTGGTGGACACAGAAGAGGCCTGCAGCATCTTCATTCCATTGCTTTCTTCCACCATGCAGCTGTCCATGGCTTCTTTGTAGGAGATCTTCAGCTTCGTCTTTGGACAAGTCAAATTCTTCTGATAGTTGCGAGTGTCTTGCAACTTCTGTGCCCCTTTACCATCTAGCCAGCCTTTCCGGATGGCCTCTTCAATGCTGATACGACGTCCTGTGTGTGGTTCTATTAGACCCCCTGTCAAATACTGAAACTCCAAAAACCTTTGGCCCGCCTCGTAGGGTAGCCAGTTCTCCTTTACGGCCTGAGCTGCAGAGAGCTTTCGTTTGGTTTTCACATCCTCAAAACCAATGTAGGCTTTCTGAGAAGCTTTGAGTTTACTAACCATGGAGTCATCAATGATACTCTGATGGAAGGCATCTTCAAGTGACAGACGGTCACCGGTTGCAGGGTTGATGATCCCACCAGTGCAAGCCTGAGCTTCCAGCAGTCTTTGTGCTGTAAGGGTGTCAATGATGCCTCTTTTGAGCCCCTCGGTAACAGTTACTTTCTCTAAAGTCTCTGTGTCAAATATGGCTGCTACAGGACTTTGGTCATCAAACATTCCTGGGGGAGAGACTGTAATTGAAATGCTGCTGAGGCGTTTACGAACAGTAGGTGAAGATGGTGTGGCTTGGGTGGGGCTGCTGCACGTGACCATGTCATCAACACTGCTGGCTGCAATAGTCATCTCAGTGCTGTTGGTTCTGCTGGTAATTTTGTCAGCAAACTCGGTCAAGGTTATTGATCCGGCACGGTACTCATCTAACGTCTTTTGGTCAATGACAGCATTGTCTATGCACTCTTGAATGTCATACTGAGTTCCAGTTTTTCTATCCACAATAACCAAACGTGCTGAGCCGTCTGATCCTCTGATGGTGATTTCCTCCCACTCACATTCTTGCTCTGACAAGTCCAGGAACGTTTCATAGTCAATTAGATCCTTATGGTAGGCCTCCCTGACTGACATCTCCAGCCCTGTGTCAGGGTCAACAATTACAACACGCCTTTTGCGGAGCACATTGGTGCGACTTTCTTTAGACTGTTGAGCCTTTTTCTTGTCTTTGAGGGGCAGAAGTATTAGCCCTGTTTTTTTATCTGTGATGCATCTCTCCTTCAGTTGAAGATATGTCAGGTTCTCCTTGGTATTTGGGTCAAAGAACCCTTTTGTGTCATCTCCTTCGTAGCTTAAGATCTCTTTCATCTCCTCATCAAAATATCCTCTTTTATAGGCAACAGAAACTTCAATGCGGTGGCTCTCGACAGGGTCAATAATTCCACCACTGGCAATTTGGGCCTCAAGCAGCCGGATCCCATGACCTTTCTCAATAAGATCTTTTGCGATAGCCTGGAAGAGAGAGATTGTCTTGCCTGTTGTTGGGTCTGTGTATCCAGTTACTGCCCTTTCTGCCGACATGAGCTTACTCTTGAACTCCTTCCCTACAATGCCTCTTTTGGTGGCTTCTTCTACTGTCAGGAAAACATTGTTAACTGGATCAACAATGAAGCCTGATGCAGCTTGTGCTTCAAGAAGCTCCAGGGTGGTTCCTCTCATTAACAGTCCTTCCTTCATTGCCTGATAGAAAGGCATTATCCTGTCATTGACCTCATCATAGATACCTGCGATACAAGTGGAGCCAAAGAGATATGACTTTAGCTTGTCTTCAATGTCTTTTGCAGTGAGCGAACCCTGGTTGAGCTTTTGCACGTCAGTTTCATTCAGCAGCTCAGACTTAACTAGTTCTGTGACAGAGACATCCCCACGGATACCCTTAACTGTCATGGGCTTTTCTGGACCTTGGAGCAGGAGCAAACCAGACACTGGTTCGACTGTGCACTTCCTTCTAAGGTCAGTATATGTGATCTTCCCTCCTGTCGCTGGGTCCAGGTAGGAGGCAGGCTTTTTATTCAAAGCCCTGTAAAGATCATCATCTATGAGATTACGATCCAAGGCCAGATCTTTTGGAAGATATACACTCAGCACGGGGTCTATTATGCCCCCAACAGACTCCTGAGCCTGGAGCAACCGGATGGCAGTTTCTTTGTCAACATGACCTTTTTTGTAAGCCTGTCCCACAGACAGCACCTTGCCGGTGTATGGATCCTTGAACCCTGTGCTGGCAGCTTCAGCTTTCAATAAAACATCTCTGTCTTCTGTGTCTACAATCCCTCTTGAACAGGCAGTATCTACTGGCATCCTCTCATTAAATGCAGGGTCCAGAATGTAGCCTGTTGCTGCTTGAGCTTCCAACAGCATGATGGCACTCTCTGGGCTGAGGAGTTTCTTGTGTTTGGCTTCGGTGAAAGGCATTTTTCCCTGTGAACCTGTCTTCATCCCAGATATAATGCCAGTGCCCTTTAAATTAACCTGGATGTCCACAGCTACTTCCTCCACTGTCTTTTTGCCCTTTAACAGCATTTCCAAGGTAGCTTTGCTGATTATACCACAGTCACAAAGCTGGTGGGCTGTGACTTTTCGGTGCACACCATTGAACACAAGCTTTGATGGATCAATTGTCATGACTTTCTCATCTGTCTGGGTCTGAATGCTAAACGAAGGTGGTCTCTTCAGTCTAAGAATTTCTCTCTCTAGGGCATCTCTCTTCAGAGCCAGATCAGATGCCTCCTTTTCTGAGATCCCGAGACGTCTCTTATATGTTTCCTCCAAAGTGTACAACTCCCTCTTCAGCCTCTCAATCTCACTGTTAAGGGATAGCCTCTCTCGGTCAGCCTTGCCCTTGTCTGACTCGCACTGTCTAATCTGGAATTCTCTGGAGTCATACTGGCTCTTCATAGAGGTCAATTCTTTATGGATAGAATCTCTTTCAGCTTGCAAATGCTGTTTGTTGCGAAGCTCGGTCTCCAGAGAGAACTTGAGGCGGCCAAGCTCCTCTTCTAATCTCTGATTACGGTTCTTGTCCTGCTCCAGCATTTTAAGCTTGGAGAGCAAGCTGTCCCTCTCCAGCACCAGGTCAGTATATTTGCTTTGGGAGTCATGTGCCAACTTGGAGGTCTGTGAAAAGATAAGAGAAAGAGCATTATAATGTAATTAACTTCCATGTATGCAGTTCAAAAGACAACATATCAGTATTGCGTGCAGTTCTGTGTAATCTACAAGTTAGAAAACTTTGCACACATTTCTAGACATGCTACTGTAGTTCATTGTGTGATTGTGATGATGGTAAAAGTAACTGAGTGGCATTCTGTGAAATTATTGAAAAGCTCATTTAGAGACACAGATAAGAGGGAACATTTGTGAGTAAGAGAAAATTGTGATCAACTAAGTAAAAGTAGTGACATATACTATAAAGGTACGTTGAAATCAGGATAAGTCATAAAGCAAACACAACAAAACATGCAAGAAGGAAATAATACGTTTGTGATATGAGTATATTATCCTTCAATGTGATCGAAAATACCTCAATTGACTGCTTTTGGAATTTTTCTATTTCCATTTTAAGCTTTTCTCTCTCCTTGGTCAGGTCACTGATGAGAAACTGGAGCTCGGATGTCCTCTTGGAGCTCGTTTGAAGCTGGACATTCAAAGCTGAGATTTGAGTGGCACTTTCTGCATCAATAGCACCTTTGCTAATCTTCAGTTCATCTCTCTCTTGTCGTACTGCCCTCAGCTCTTCCTCCAACCTTAGTCTCTCTTTGGTAAGGTTCTGTGTCAGAGTCTTCAGCTTTTCCATCTCTGTGGTGTATTCGTTGAGCTGGCGGCTCTTCTCTTCTATGGTTTTGTACAAGCTTTCGTTGCGCTGGTTGAGCTCATGAACTCGCACCTGCTCTTGCTGGAGTTTTTGTTTTAGTATTTTGAGTTCATTCGTCACCGCTGTCAGTTCTTCTTTGGTGACTTTGCAATCCCTTAAGCTCCTGTCCAGTTTCTCTTGGAGAGCCTTGATATCTTGCTCATACTTTCTCCCAGTGTTTGTGACCTCTATCTGAACAGATTTCAGTGAGTTGATTGTAGTGGTATGCTCTCTGCACGTACGTGTCATCCTCTCTAACTCCGCCTCCATTCTCTTACGACGAGTGAACTCCTCTTGGGTCTGATTCTTTTGCTTTTCCAGCTCAGCTTCCAACCCATCCAGAGAGCCCTGAAGTTCCCTGATACGACTCTGAAGCCTGGCAGAACTCTGCTCTGCCTTAGTTTTCTCACTGGTCTGCTTTTCCAACTCCACTCGGGTGATGTGGATTTCCTGCTCAGCCCCTTTAAGTGTGTTAATTGTCTCAAGGTAAGCACTGTTCTTTGCCACAAGTTCTGCTTTGGCTTTCTTCAGCTGACCGAACTCCAGTTCTAGAGCTCTCCTCTTTTTCTCCTCTTCTTGCAGGCTAATTGTTAGCTCACTGATTTGCCTGGATTTCTCCTGACTGTTTCTGTTGGATTCCTGTAATTTCAGGTTTTCTTCATCTCTCTGCTGCTGGAGCGTTCTCAACTGCAGCTCCAAATTAGTGCGAATCCTTGTCGCTTCATTCACTGAGGCCATCTGCTGGCTGGCTTCCTGCTCTGCCTTGCTTTTGTGCATTTCAATGACAGCAATGGACTGCCTCAGCCTCCTGAGCTCCTCTTCCAGATTTCTCTTCTCGTCCATGAGCCGGTCAACTTGCAGCCTCAACTGTGATGCATCCTCATCTTTCTGCTGGGACACTTTCAGAATGGTGGTCTTGCTGACTTGGATCTCTGTCTCATATGTCTGTTTGAGTTGACTGATCTCCTGGGTGCACTGTGTTCTTACCTTTGATATATCTGACTCGACTTTTTGACGACGCCTTTCTTCCTCCTCCAGTTGCATCCTCAATCTCTCAATTTCATGTTCTTTATCCTTCACCGACTTCTCCAGGTTTATCTTTGTCCAGTTGATGGCATCCAGTTCCTGCATCCTGGAGCGAGTTGATGCATCACACTCTTGTTGGTGGCTTATGAAGCGCTCTTCTGCAAGCATTCTTTTCCTCTTTTCCTCCTCAAGCTGATATTTAACGCGGCTTAGTTCTTCAGCTACAAGTTGCATCTGGCCTTGTGTGCTATCAAGGCTCTCTTTAGCAGCGTTAACCTGCATTACTGTGGTTCTCTTCACTTCTTGCACTGAAATGAGCTCATCTTTAGCCTGACTGAGCTCCATCTTGCAGTTGGACAAGATACCCTCCAATGAACCATTTTTTTGTTTTTGATCTTCAAGTTCATCCTGTAGACGCCTCAGTTGCTCCTCTAGCAACTCAATCCTGGTGTTTCTTAGCTGATGACAGATTAAGGAAGACAAATTTAGTCAGATTTATTTCAAACCTATTTGTTCAAGTAAATGTGGTCTCTCTGGCAAGTAGCTTTAACAAAAATATTGCATATATAGAAAAAAAATGCATAATTGTTGTACAAAGAAAATCTGATGCCAACCTTCAGCTCATCTATGTTCTTCCCCAAGTCACCCAGGAACTTGTAATAATCGCTGGAGCGGGTAAGCAGCTCGATGTAATGTGTCTGAAGTTCACCTGCCTTGGGACAATAATTAGATTATAAATACCACCGTTAAAAAACAATCAATCATTTTCATTTTCATTTGTGTGGAATTTCATTTTTAGTTGGTGAATGAACCCTGATTTGGAATGCACTCATTTTACAAAATGCACGAGTGCTTCTAAATGTAGCATCTATAAGCTGAATATATTTCTTGAATTTGATCACACAATAAATATGAAAATCCAAAGTTATGAGATTATTTTAAAAGAATGTTGCTGCTTACTTCTCTTCTGACAGAAGATGCAGGGGACTGAAGCAAAGTTCTCTTCACTGGGACATTAAGCAAGGTTCCCAGTCCTGAGCTGTAAGAAGCCAGCTCCAGCTCGTAATTCTGAAAACAACAAAGCCAGCGATATTTATACCTTTTTTTTGCTTTTCATCAAGACAGATTTCAAGAAGAAGCAAACCAATTACCTTTATGGATGTAGCACAGGTGTCCGCATTCCTCAGCACATCATCCAGTCTGTCCTTCCTGTTTTTGATTTCATTGTGAAGAGTCTATTCAAAACAACACAAATAAGGAAAAATGTTTCCTTTAATTTCAGAAGTTTTGCATATTGTTTCTGGTTTGTGGTGTTTTATTTAAATTCATGCAACAATATGACACATTTAAACATTTCCCCACTCTACAGATATTCTAAATTCCCTAAATTGTAATTATCCTGCACTTTCTGCGTGTGCTGCACTATAAAGCACACATTTGCTCACAGGTATTTGCATTTCTAATTGATCACAATCCGACTGATATCCAGGAGTCAATTTGATTTTGAGTTTGGGAGTTGTCATCCACAGATGATCCCAAAAGTACATTTTTGTCACTCTACTTCACCATGCTTCTAGGTTGTGTTTACCTAATTTTACTTTATCATATAATCGATTCTGATATTCTCCTGAGCTTGTACCAATGAATCAAACACATTGCTCTTAGTCTAACACAACTATATTATGTCTCACTGGCTTTTACATACTTACATAGAAGTGGACATTTATATTTGTGTTATTTTTGACATTAGTCAGTCAGTTTGAATAGGAAATAATACACACACTAGAAATTATGCATACTGTCTAATCAAATAAAATAATCAGTTTGATTTACAGCTAGTCTGAAGTAACCCTTATTGACTTTAGCTTGAGCCGACACACCTCCCTCAAATGGAAAACCACCTTCAAACATTTGTTACGATAGTTTCGGTAAACATGGAAAAGCATGCCTTTTGTTGGTTGATGTGGTCCGTGAGAGTCTGCCTGTCAGTGATGTTGGCCATCTTAAGGGTCTCCTGCCGTTTCCTGGTATTGTCTATCCACTGCTCCATCAAATTTCTTCCCTGCTGATACTGTGTTAACTGCTGCTTTTGTTGTTCCAGGTCCGATAGTCTAAGGCAGGAAGAGGAAGAGATGGAAGAATGCTTTAGTCCTGTTGCCGGCAATAACAAATGCGTCATTGTGACCAGACAACCTTGTCGTACCTGATATCAATCTGCTTTTGGATTTGACGCCAGCGACTGGACAGCTGGTTCATAAGCTCAGAGTACTTGGACAAATCCACATCACATTTGTGGAAAGAATCGGAAATCTGGTCGTTGCAGTACTGCGCTTTGGCCAGGTGAGACTCCATGGAAGTCAGCAGATCCCGTCTTTGATCAAGTTCAGTCTTCATGCTCTGTAATAGAGATTCACACAGCGAGGTCATTCATATCCTTTGGTTTTACAACTAAAAGTGACAAGTACAAATGTTTGTGTTTTTGAGGTAAATGCCTGGCAATTAACCAAACTTTTTTACTATGATTGAAAGTACTTGATTTTGAGGAGTTCTAGGTTTTTTTCTCTAGGTTGAAATTGATAATGCAGCGACGTCTGAAAAATAAAAGTAAATTCAATGATACTTTAAAAAAATCTGACTTAAAATCTTGTTAGTATTAGGAGTAGTACTACTGCCAATACTACTACTACTAGTAATAATAGTATTAACAGTAGTAGCAGATTTACTAGAACTACTGCCAACAATGGTAGTGCTACACTGCTCTTAATATAGAACAATTTATTTTCATGATTGGGACATAAAATTTTGAGATTTTTATCTATTTTATATTGTATACTAAACTATTGTTTACTACTGTCTTATGTTTTGCATAGAAAACATTATCAGAGACGGTAAATTATATACTTTTTAAGATATTCATCTGAAATATATAGAATAAATAATTAAGAAACACAAACAGTAAAATAAAGTCCAGTTACCAACAACTTTTAATCCAGTGTCATTGTTGTGGCAAGTTACAAAAGAATAAAATAAAAGATCTAATTGATCTGAGTAACTAATATATTTAGAAAAAGCAAAGTTTAAAACTTCTAAGGAGAAAATAAATTAGATATCAAAACAGGTGCCTCATACCCTTAAAGCACTCCGATGGATTTCCAGTTCTTGAGGGTCATCGGAGCTGGTCTCCTTCTCCATCAGGCGGATCTCGTGAACTTTAATAAAATCCTCAGCCTGGAGAAAATTTTGTTGCAGGTCCTTGAGCGCTTTCAATCTGTTGTGGACACAATACATAAAAAAAAACAAAAAAAACATATAAGAAGATTAACCTAACTTTAGCTTCAGATCAGATAAGCTGGCCAAAAAAAAAAAAATACTGCACTTGTCAAGGTAGACTTTGTTAAGATGCTGCAGTTCTCCCAATTTGTGGTTGACTATCTCCAGTTCGGAACGGAGGAACTTGGCCTGCTCTGAGTCTGCAGGGAGCCCAGTTAGCTGCTTTGTGATCATTTCTCTTAGGTGCAGATACTCATTGTAAATTGAATCCAGGTCTTGGTTCACGCCCTGGAAATGAGCATATGGTGACATTTACTTAAAATTAGTAAATACAATATGTTTTAGTCGTGAAACTAGCTATGACATTTCTTCTGATCAGCTCTGTACATTTGCATTCAAGTAATTTGCAATATAAATAAAAAAAGCAACATACGTGTAGCTTCTGAATGTGCACTGAGCACTCATGCACACCGTTTTCTCCAAGTGGGATATGGAGATGGTCAGTGAGGTCAGATTCAGCCATTTCCAGCCTGCGACGGATTTGTTGCAGATTGCTAAGCAGCGAAAGGCTGATGACAGTGTTGGTTTTGGTCGGTTGTTTAATGGGGGCTTGGTATTGTTGCTGTTGCTGTTGCAGTTGCTGTTGCTGTTGCACTTGCTGTTGCTGTTGCACTTGCTGTTGCAGTTGCTGTTGGACTTCAATCTCTTCAGTCTTTATCTCTTCTTCCCCTTCAATGCGAAGTAAAAACGATGCAAATTAATACTAGAAAAACTGAGATTTCCATAATTTCTAACTAAGTAGTGCAACAAAACAGAAATATACTTTGTATCCCAGTTGTTATTTTGGAAAAGCAGAGAAGACAGATCAAGTTCTTTAACTATACCTTTTATTAAAAAAGAACACAGCTTCACATAATCCATGATTACTAATATAATTAATAATTAGTATTATGTAATGGAAGTAACAACACAACATATTACTAATGTTTATCTGAAATCACTATTCCTATATTTTTAAGAGCAGCTGTGAAAGAAAATAATTAAATGCAAATCAAGGTTAGTATTTGTAAAACAAGGAAATCAAGGCTAGCCAGTCAAACAGGCTAAAGAGTTTTTCTAATGATGTGCTCCATTATATGGTCTGAATTATTCTACAATTACACCCTGAAAATTAACTGAGCGTTCAAAGTAAAATCAACAGAATTTCTCCTTACTGTAATTGGGAAGCTGGACAATCAGAGTATCGTAGTGCTCTTGAGCCTTGTTAAAGTGGCCCTGTATGGTCTTCCTATCCTCTTCTCCAAACATTTCAGAACCCTGGCTGTTACGCATGAACTCCTGGTAATGGATCTCCATATTTTTGATCAACTCGCGGTATTCGTCGGGACGCATCTTCGACAGCTAAAAGAGAAGAGAGGAAGGTTAGGGTGGGTGTGAGAGCCTAGAGTGGCTCAGATAAAACAAAAGCAATAAATGGAGTTCAAAATTCAGCTTCACCAAATGTGCGTTTGCTCATTTTGAAATATTTCATTCTTGACGTCTTACCATGCTGATGGTGAGGGAGTTGATGAAGTTGACATCTCTGATACAGTACTGCCAGGAGATGAGACTCTTGATGTTGATGAAGAGCTGATTCCACAGGCCCATGATGGCTTCATAGTACTGCTCATTTCTGGTAAAAGGACACACAGTCATTCCTGATATGCAATATGAACTACACTATCAACCACTAATTTTCTGCCCACTGCAATACCACAGACACGGATAAAATAATTTAAGAAATAATAATCAAAGGACAATGAAATGCTAAGTGCTGCAAATTCTGCTTTTAAACAAATCATTGGCTCATTCCAAGTGTATACATTGAATTAAAGTATATTAAATAATAAATAATACTAACTGTCTGCACGTTTGCAGTTAATAAATGTCACATTAGCAACATTCCAGACAAAAAAAAATAAATAAAAATCAGCATCGACCAAAACTGGAATTGGCAGATTGGGCTTTTTTAAGAACGTATTTACACTGAAACCAACAAGCGGATATTCTAAATCGAACAAGATTTAAGAACTGGAGCTAAAAGTGTCACATAAAGGGCGGGAGGGGGAGGGGGAGGGGGGGAAGGGGCTCATGGATGATAAAACAGTGAATGCATTTTGGTACATGCAACAGACTTATAGTCTGTGGATTGAGATTGAGATTGAGAGAATGGTCTGATATCTGGTGAAGAGAGAGAATTTCCAGAAGGATGATTAAGCAAAAAAAGTTTTAGACTCAGTTCAGACAGACCCGTTTAGATTATCATTCAGCAATTTCTGTAAATCAGGGAGTTGAGCTCCTTGTCACTGTAGAAAACAGCAGCTAATTCTGGCCCCTGGTCAGAAGTATAAAAGCTCAAGGTGACCGTTAGATTTTTTTGAAAAATATAGATGTAGATATAATAAATTGAGAGGCTTCTTTAAAGTGGTCATGCAAACACATATGAACAAGTATGAGTGTGCACGTAACTTCAAAAGTGGGAAGGAGGTTGTAAGTTTTAAATCAATGAAGGGGGAGAGACTCTCTGGAAAAAACCCCCACTGTGAACCACTGCTACGTACAACACAACACAGATTTTTAACAAGCCTAACCACCAAATCTGATTCGGGTCCTTTCTCATAGGTGTGCAGTTTCTTACTTTTTAGCAATTCCGATGCTGAGAGGATTTGGCGGTGGGATGAGCAGGCACACAGAGGGAATCCACATGTCAAGACCTCCAGGTCCTGTCACAAGCCACTTGCTGCGCTGAGAGTTGTCCTTCAGGATGCCCTGGTTGTCTTTCAATATACTTTTCTGAAAACATAAAACAAAAAAAAAAAGAATGAGATTTACTACATTTGCTATGCCTTTGTTACACTTTGTGTATGGTTATGCAAACTATAGAGATGAAGAATTCATATGTCCAACCTGGTCCTGCTTAAAGTCACATAAGGCCTGAACCATGACGGGGGTGGTGCTTTTCTCCTCGGGATTTCGAGGCTTCAGCCTGACAATGGACTGCGACTTGGTAACCAGACTCTGGACCTGCCTCTTATTCTCCATGATCCTCTCTTTCTCTCTCTGTATTGAAAATTAGAAATTTTTAGCTTAGGCACTTTTTACAGTAACTTTGAGAAAACAAATCATGCTCGAAACTATACTAAATAAATGCAGCCAGACTGAAAAGATAAAAAGGATAAAGGCTTTCCGAACAAGTTTAAGAGGCATGCACTTTTTTTTTTTTACTTTGTCCAATGCACAGGGAAATTACAATTAATGGAGAACAAATATACCTCCAGATTTTTCAGGAGTTCGACAAGGTTCTCCACACGGGTATTCTTGTCACATATGAATTTGCTCTTGATGATGTCATGTTGCTTCTGAAGCTTTGCATACGTTTCATTGGCCTCCTTGAAAAACTGAAGGAAAAATAAAAGCAGATAAGGTTTGTTTAAATGAAAACATACAAGGTGCTATTTCCACATAGCAAACAGGAACTTTAAAGTCATACTTGGCTGTAGGCAGAATTTTCCTTAAGATGAACTTGGATGCACTTTGTGATCTGGAGAAGCCAGCTCCACTGTGTCTGTAGGGTGTCCACGTAGGCCTGTAGGGTGCCAAGTCATTCATTCAAACGTAAAATAAAATTTTTAAAATAATTGATCAAAATACAGTCCAAACGCCAACAACCACTACCTCGATCTTGTCTTTGGCTGGGTGGTTGTTATTCAAGAGGACATCAGATTTCGTCTTCAGCCTGTTTAACTCCTTCTCCTTCTCCTCCAATTCACTCATCAGTTTCTGATGTATAAACAGAAAGGTAAAAGTCCAAAACAGTCCCACCATAAACAATGCAGATACATTTACAACAGATGTCAATAATAATAATAATAACAATACAAAAAATGCTCAGTCTGAGATTCTCACAGAGTAGCTCTCCTGCTTCTTGGGTATGTACTGGTCGATGTTTTTGTCTCCCCAGTCAAACATTAGCTCCTCCTCCTCTCTTCCATTAACCCACATGATGGCTTGAGAGACGTCCACGATGATGCTCTGAAGGTCACGGAGTTGACTGATGCGACTGTTGGACATTTTCTACGACAAACACATGGCACGTTTATGGATAGAATTAAAATTGCAACATAGAGAAAAAGAAAAAATGCTACATTTGACAAAATACTATTTGTGCTGAAAGGGTTTTTCTCTACCTGGAGGGCATCCATTTCTTGTTCCAGGATGTTGAGGTGATACTTATTGCCCACTGACATCTGGAAAGTAGTTCACAATGTTGCTCAGGTCTTAGCCACAAACCAAACAGGGGAACATACTAAATAGTAGACACGGGCTGGTTGTAGATATTTGGAGGGTTTGAAAAGTGATGGTTTCCACGGTCTTTTTGTTAACCAAAAACCACTTTAATGAGATGTCGGCAATAGTGCTGGATTAAAGGAGTTTTTTCTCCAGTTGTATAGATCATAAAATAACATAACATAGTGCTGGCCCTACCTATGCCATTTCTTTTGTCTCATTTATAAGATAAAAATCAAAGCCATCATACGAAAATGAAAGAAGCACTACCTATTACCATGGCAAAGGTAACTATGTTAGCATGTTACAAGCAGGATGTTTGTAAAGCATGTAACAAACAAACAAGCTCTACCAGTACATGCTGAGTCACCAATTAATCAGTTCAATTTACTTGGACAGCAAAAAGGAACAGTATTCTAGCACCAAATAATTAAAAACTTCTATTACGTTGCATGACGTTAATGCAGTGATTTTGCTCAACTCCAGTGTTTATGGATTTATTGCCATTGCATTTTCACTCAAGGTAATCATGCTTGTAAAAATCTAATACAGTACCAACCCATGCCTATGTGAGAGAAAAAAAAAATGCTAAGACGTTGTGATGTAAAGTGAGCAAAATAGGTATAAAAGTAAAGAAATATAACTTACCAGCTCGTCTCTGGCACGCCTTACTTCTAGGTTTGTTTGGATGGAGCTGTGGACTTTGCTGTGGGATACTATTTGGTTTTCTATGGTGCTGGCGTCATCTCCGAATGGAGCTGTCTCAATCATGCGCTATCAAATTAAAAATGACAATACCATGATTAGTACTTTTGCTCTTGCTTTTCATATTTTTGGACATTTTTGAGGTGAGTAAAATTTGTGTTTGGGCATTTTCAAATGAAATCCCTTAATTGAATATTATAGATAATTAATAGATTTGAGGTAGTCTCTTGAAAAGACAATTCAGCTATTTTTTTGTTCAAATCCTTTGAAGCATTTAATATATAACTGTCATAATATGTTGAATGTGACTTTTTTATTGTGGCATTACGTTTGTATTTTCAGTAGACTTGATTTTGGTGTGTCTAGTAATTTTATTCAGTTCAGTAAGTCTAGTTTGAGATTAGTTGGTCCTGGAGACTAATGCAAATTTGTTTAGTTAGTCTCAGAAAGGTCATTAATGCAAATGCCATTATGAACAGAACTCATCAAGTTTGCATTCGAAGCTTTCAACACAGAATCCTACGATTATTTACAGAGTAAATTGGAGATCAGAGGCAGTGTGGTACCAATAATCTTCTGTGTTGGGAACAAAACATGTAACGCATATCTAGTCAGAAATACAAGTGTAAACTGCAAAAAAAGTGTAAACTGCAAAAAAAAAAAAAAAAAAAAAAAAAAAAAAGTGGCATTTTTTTTAACTTAAATAAAATTTTTTTGTTTTTTTTTTTATTTGGATTTTTCAAATCA